TTTTTATCTACTTTTCAATTAATGCATCAACATCTAAATCCTTGGTCAAATTGCCACACAAAAGCAGACACGTGTTCCGCTGCTCCTCGTATCATTAAATTTTAAATGACATGATTGATAGCTTTGTGATCCCTTTAAGATCTTTTCAAATCTAATAACTGATAATTTTTGTCCATAGAAGTCACTTTTTTTGACGGTTTGTCAATATAAATATAAGTCTCTTTTAGTGGCCCCTCTCTGCAAGTAAACCTTTGTTGGGAACCTATTCTTTATTAATTGCCACACAGAAGCAGACACGTGTTCCAATGCTCCTCTAATCATTAAATTTTAAATGACATGATTGATAGTTTTGTGATCCCTTTAAGATCTTTAGAAATTTAATAACTAATAATTTGTGTCCATATAAGTCTCTTTTAGTGGCCCCTCCTCTGCAAGTTGACCTCTGTTGGGATCTTACTTTTTATTAATTGCCATACAAAAGCAGACACGTGTTTCACTGCTTCTCACATCATTAAATTCTAAATGACATGATTGATAGCTTTGTGATCCCTTTAAGATCTTTTACAAATCTAATCTAATAACTGATCATTTTTGTCCATATAAGTCTCTTTTAGTGGCTCCTTCTCTGCAAGTTGACCTTTGTTGGGATATCCTATTCTTTATTAATTGCCACGCAAAAGCAGACAAGTGTTCCACTGATCCTCGGATCATTAAATTCTAAATGAAATGATTGATAGCTTTGTGATCCCTTTAAGATCTTTACAAATCTAATAACTGATCATTTTTGTCCACATAAGTCTCTTTTTTTGACTGTTTGTCCATATATGTCTTTTTCCTTTTTACTGTTTGTCCATATAAGTCTTTAATTGGTAAAGATCATAGCCCTTTACTTTATCATTGAATTTTTTAATTAACATGAATGACAGCTTAATTTGCGGTGCCTTTTTTTTCTAAGTATTCCCAGTTTTGCAAGTGATAATAATAATAATATTATCTCAATTTTAAAATAATGGTTATTTTTTTATTTTTTAAATTAAAAATTTTAAAATAATTTATATATTTATTTAAATTATTTTAAAAAAACAATTAAAAGATAA